CCCAACAAAACTGTACTGAACAGTGGAAGTCGCCCTTATTTACGTGATTCACACAGATTTCAGCCTCTTCTTCTGAGAGCTGATTAATCCCACAAGTGTCGCCCACAAATTTGTGGTGCCTCGCAAACCCTGTTCAGTGACAGACCAGAACTGTAGACCACAGCTTTGTCAACTCAGTCAAGTCAGAAGTGTCCATTACTCATTATAAAAAAACACATTCCCCTACATAAAATAAGCTCTTCAGGAAGAACCACTGAAATTCACTCTTAAAACTTTAAGAAAACCCTTAAGGTGCAACAAAGGTGCATATATTGTTGTTAACAATATCTAATATAAAAGTGAGAAATTCTGTTACTTTTCCTTCCTTTAAAGTGACTTTGTTTGAAGTGACTCTAAGACAATGATAGAGATTTGGTCCCAGGTAAAACTTCAAAGGGAAACAATCAAGGTTATCTTTTACCTAGACAATGCTGGGAATATTAGCGTGTTCCTGGTGTCCAGTGATTGGAAAGACAATTCTGTGTAAACCTGTGTCTCCATTAGCACGTTGATTATCACTAAAGCTGCAGCTGTGTACTCGCATCTGAATAACAGCACTAAACCAATAGACCTAAGGTTTAAAAACCTAGTAAATTATAACAAAGTGGTACATTCAGCAAACAGCAAACATTGATTTGTTTTTATGGGGCTAGCCATGGGGCTCAGTCCCTTCATATTTCCACAGTCCCTGTGTATGACCTTTGGTTTAGACCTGGCATTAAGTTGTATCCAATAAATGAAATCGTTAATTAGGGGTTGGACTGTATTTAAGGCCTTCCCAATCATTTTACAATTTTGGGGCTCGACCAACTTGTCTCCGTGGGTTATAGAACCAAACTAAATCCCCCTTTTCAAATGTCACTTTATCATCTTGTCTTTTCATGTTTTCAGCAGCTGTTCTTAAATTATTCCTTGCAAAATCATGCACATTTTCAAGGACAGTTTGTACATAGTGAAGATGATCATCAAATCTTTTATTTTCTGTTGGGAGTACCACACAGTAACAAAACAAAAATGCAAAACTCTGCATAAAGGTTCCCCAAGTGGGCC